ATATGTTTCTGGCTAAAATATCCCACCGATTTTCTCCTGTTATGGCTTGCATTTAATAATTGTGTCACATGTAGTGTCCCCTGGTCTCTGTGCTCCTTCAACCTGGTATATTGTACTCGAGGGTGAAGACTCCCAGCTACACTCCCACTGGCCTGACAGTGCCTGGAAGCCCCACGGGGAGATATCCCTCTCCCCCTGACGTGGAGGTAAAAAGAAGAATCACGGCACAACTCGTCTCACTCCAGAACTGGAAAGGGTCAAAGAATCCTCACTTCCCATCCAGTGGTATCGTACTTGTTTATCTCACATTAAACACTTCACATTTAGGATAAACTAAGTTAGAAGAAGAATAGTTCAGCTGTATGGGCACGAGCTATCAAAAGACAGCTCTGTTCATGCAAATGTGCTGATGTCTCTGTGCATCACTGCCCTCTCCTGGGCAGCACTGCACAACCCCAGGACCCCAGGCCAAACCTCAGCAGAGCAGTTAGTTACTTGTGTTTACTTCAGGCAAGGAAGCAATCCACTCACTGCTGCACTGACACCTTCCGAAACCTCACTGAGCATCACGGGGACTGCTGAGCTGTTCCTAAAGGACTAAAGATTTGTTAAAATATAATTAAGCAGGATACTTAGGATAACTAGGATTAGAAGTCTACATCTCAAGTGCTCTGAGCTATTAAATGGCTGTAATGCAAATTAAATTTGCTTTGATTATGTAAGTCTGTCTCAGCTACAACATTTAAGTCCTCCTTGTTACAATGACAGATTCTTAGCGCAGAAAACAAGGAGGTGGCAAAAAAGCAAACCACAACAAGCAGCCATCATGTTTCACTGTCACCCCGTGCTCTCAAGTCTCCTGGGTTCATCTGAGGTTGCCTTTGGAATACTTTCCTGTGCAAACATACAGGCTCTATTTGCATACACATATTCATGTGCATTCTTATATGCACTCTTGTCTCTGACCAAACCCCTGCACGTAGCCATACTCTGCCACACACCTACATGGGGAAAGAAATGAGCAAAGACCACACTCAGTGAGCTCTGCTACAAAGCACCCCCCAGGGAAACTCTATGTAAGTTTTGTCCATCCAGCAGCTGCCCCAGTCTGGTGCCCACCTGGAGTCTCTATGGCAGATACAGGCTGAAAGCTGCAGCACAACGCAGTGTTCCCTGTGTTGCAGCCTCAAATATATTATTGGGGATAAGTGGGTTTATTTCCTCGCAGGAAGCTGTGAAAATAAACCCTGCAATGACAGAGAGGTGCTCAGATGGCAAAGAAATTGGGGCTACAGCTTTTAATTATCCGAGCGTCTCTGAGCCATACATGTAATTTCTGACAGAGAAATCCAGCCCTTTAGCTTTGCCAGTGATGGAAAAAGGTGCATTACAGCCACCAGTGCCACTTCCCATCTGTGTTATCTCAAGAATTGTTCAGTATATTATGCTTTACTCTGAATGTTCAAGCTATGAGCTCCCTCTAGTATTGCAAAAGGATTAATGCAGTCAGTACCTTTGCCATGCTACCAGAAGGGAGAGTAAATGTAAAGCAAGCATCAAGCTGCTAAAAATCCTTCCTTTTCGGAACTACACCAACTACAATCAGTTGTCATCAGTGAACTCCCACCTTTACTTTCTTTTGCTGCTCTGGGAAGGTTGCTTGCTCACTCTCTCTCTAAGTTTTTTGATGTAATGTGGAGACAGATAGAAAAAGTAGGGCTCATGTCCACCTTGTGTTTAACCCTTGCTCTCTCTCCTGCTGGATGTTGGGATGAGGGCTGCATCCTCTGCCAGCACCATGCAGATTTGTAGCAGTTGCCTAAGCAGCGGAAACTCGAGTGTCTCTTGCGTGACCCTGGAGATGACAGAAAATTCTCAGCAGTAGACAGGCAGAGGAAAAGTGGAGTCTTAAAGACACAAACATTAAGTCCCCTGCCACCACTCCAGAAAATCTAGTAAAAGCTACCAGAAATGTTGGAAGACATTCTGGGTGCTTCAATGACTGCTAATTCCCCAATCCCTTCTGACACTGCTTGTTGCTATATAACCGATCATGATCCAGACTAGAACTTCAAGTTGTGAAAGAGTAAGAACACATCACCAAAATCAAACAACAGTTCTCTCCTTTCCTAATACTATTTATTACAATGGCAAGGCAAGGAAATGCTGATAATGGTAGAAAATTAAAAGAAATACATACATTGAAAAACAATTTTTTTTTCAGCAGTGATTTTTTTTTGTCGCAGAAGTTTTTTAAGAAAATGTTAACGCTCCTCTCTGACACAGATTAATCAGACTACTGGTTGATTTAGCCAAGCATCCCATCACTTAGCCTTGACAGCATCAGATATTTCATCATTAAATGCAAGAAATATTACCTTTTCCCAAGTCTCCAAAAAATACCCTGTCATCCTGCTATTCCTATGTCTGTTTGTTCATAGTTAACTTGAACGCTCTAGACTAACAGTTTAGATTGATCTATAAGGGGTATCTATAGTTATGTAAGTAAGCGGTAACGTAACTGTGGATATTCTATATTACCAATCTGAATCATGTTTGGCCTCAGTACTACATTATGGACTTGTGCTTTGCAGATAAATAATGTTTTCAGCAAGAATTATTTCTTCTTCTCAGTTTTAAACTGGTTTAGCTTTTTAATGAAAGTCCCTTTGAAAAGGAAAAACATAAACAATTTACCTTCTTTGTAGTGAACGCACAGTTTGCATCTTTGTCACTTCCAGAACAAATGCAACAAGAAAAGCTTCCTCGTATTTCTTAGGAGAATACTTTAAAGCAGTTCAGGAAATCTTCAGAGGTGAGATTTTCAGGTATTAGTTAATGCTAGTTTTGCTTCTGCAGCATCCTCTGGCAACAACCTAAGACCACAGCCTCCCATCACGTGAGTAAACAAATCACCAGATGAGCACCAGCCTGGCTTGTAGCCATAATGTGGTCTGTATTCCATGGAATACAGCCTGTGTTTACTTTTGGAGAATTCAACCAGCAGAGTATTTTTCTGTTGAAAGATACATACTGCAAATTGGAAATCACCAAATTCGCTTATCGCAGCACGCCTCAGTTCACGACAGCTGAACAGAAAACAGACTCCAACACAGGTCTGAGCACACTGAAAACAGGTCAGATGAGTTTAATGGTTTTGTTGCTTTAGTTCTAAATACATAAAACTGTCTAGCATTTGTGAAAAGGTGGAAGGCATGTCCAGGATCTCATGTCAACCTACACATTCCAGACAGTTAAGATCTGTCATCACATTTCTCTTCCAAGGCACTAGGTAAGATATCAATCTGTGTTCTTTTTAATAGACATATTACCAGAAGAGTTTTTCTCCTCAGGCAGCAATATATTAGAGGTGTATTAACTTCTCAAGCACAAACTGAGTTAGAGAAAATGGAAAAACCCTCTGCATCAAAATATCTTGCACAATAGTGCACATTTATTTATATTCTGCAATAAATCACATTTGCATCCATAAAAGGATGAAGCCTTGGAACAATCAGAAGCTACAGCTCCTTTGGCCATCTTTGCAGGCTCACTCTATCCATGAAAACTTTATTTTCTGTAAATAAGGGCAGCACCGATGCACTGAACAGAAGAACTGACATTGGAGGGGGCCTCTAAAAATCAAGCGGTTCAATCGCAGCATTAGTCAGCGTCAGAATATCATGTAAACACAGAGAAATTTCATCCCCCTATTTCGCATGTATGAGACACCTCAAGAAGTAGCATCTACAGTCCAGGGAAGTCTCTAATCATCCTTTTCAAGATATCTTCCTTTTCATAAGATCCCATTTCACTAGAAAGAGACATTCTTGACATAAACCCCTTGGAAGAGTAGGTAGGTCTTAACATTTCTCAGAGGTTTAATGTAATAAAAGACCATATCTTTACGAATTGATTACTTACCTTTAAGTTCAGTATTTCATATATATATATATATATATAGCAAAAATGTCTCTTAATCATTCACCAAAAATTTTGATCTGGCACTGCTATGGTTCCTATTAACACACTGCAACTATATCAACCTTTCAAATACACCAAAGCACAAATATTACAGCTATAACCAAGTAACATATTTAAAGCATCATATTCATTATATCACACAACTTTATCATCTCAGCTAGAAGAGCGACTAGAGCTTTTTTTCAGTTGCATTGATAGTTGTATTCACCAGATATACAAACACAAAAGTTTCTCACAGTCCTTAAGATCTCAGTATTTCATAGAAAATGGTATATTGCATATATAAAACATAGGTGAAAATTTTTGAGGTCATAAAAGCATTTCCTTATAATAAAAAGAATATTAAATTACCACTGGAAAAATCAGTACATATGTTGAAATTCACTGCAGCAATCCTGCAAAAATGGGGGAAAAAAAGTAGGGTAAGAAAAATCAATTTCAACACAGATTTATTTTTTTCGCTTTTTCAAAGATGTTTTTTTTTTTTTTTTTTCTGTCTGTATCAGTGTTTTTTAACTGCTTTCTCATGCTTTCCAGAACAGTCCTTTTAAAGTGGTGTGTGGTGAAATGATACTATGAATCAGTCGCAACTTAGATTCTGGCATTATTGGCTGTTGTCCTCTTGGCTCCATGTAGATTGGAACAAACCTGTGTGGATGCTCTTGAGGTTTATGATAGAGCGTGCTCAGGTCCAGAATGCCAGCTTGGTTGATGGTCCAGGAGTTATGAACATGTTCTCCAGGCTTTTCAAAAACAGGAGTTATTTTTGGTGCACATTTTCTTTGTATTATAGAACTTGTTAGGTCTTTCTTTATCATTTTCCACTGGTTCTCTTCTAGAAACTTCTGACATAGCTCATCATCACTGAAAAGACAGCCCAAATATTTGGTTGTGAAATTTCACCTCTGATGGAGCCAGATCTTCCCCATTTATTGTGAAAAAGCAAGAAGGATGTGGAGTAAGCGCTGGTTGAGTAAGCAGTGCAGGTTAATTGGCTTCTCGGACACATCCATGTTACTCACCTAGGGTAGCGCTTGTGTAATTCAAGAACTTTTCCTAAATCTAGTAACTTTTCAAAGGTGTCCTTCCTCAGCCAGATGACCTCAGCATCCTTACTGACCAAAACCATATTCCGCCTGTCTTGCATATGGTCAGGGAAGAAGTGCTGGCTGATGCCCTGTGGAAGAACAGAACGACAGAAACGATCTGTGTTGTTCAGCTGTTTCTTAAAGAGAATGTATGAGGCTTATTACAAGGTGCATTTTAAAGGAGGGATTTAACCAATGTCATTAAGGAAGACTACTTGAGAAACTCTTGCTTGCTGCTTTCCTTGGCATGTCAGCTGTTATTACCGTGACAACCTGATTGCATTTCTCCCTAGAGACTGTAGAGAAATCTTTTTTATATCTATACTTCAGCCAGGGGGAAACAGTTGACTCTGAGGAAGTGCTACGATTTTCTTGCTGCCCTCCAGCTCACAAAGCAGCAGCACAGATTGTAGCTCAAGCTTCAGGGACCCTCTTGTAGCTCGATCACAGGTGATACTGAGAGGGCACATACCCTGAACCACCTCATTCCTTCTTCCCTTGGTTTCAGACCTTACCTGATGGTGCTGACAACAAACACTCCTGAGCCTATGAACCCAGAAAACGATCCCAGGTGGAGTAACTTGGCATTGCCACTTTGCACTAGGAAATGGAAGTAATGTAAGGAAGAACTGCTAGGACCTATCGCTATGTCAAAACCTTGTTCATCACCTCACAGAGATGCATAAGCAGTAAAGGCTGCCACCTTGGTATATGGCAAGGTTTACTTTGTAACCCGCTGGCAGAGATAAGAGATGATGCTTCAGAATAAAGCTTTTATTTTCAAAGTTTCTCATCAATCATCCAGTGTTATCTACCTCCTGTGCACAGCCATTCAATTAACTATTTGATTAATTACTGAATATATATAACATCAGAAAGCACTAAGAAATGATTTGCACAAGTTCTCCATTTGACTTTTGGAGTAACATGGAAGGTTGAAAAGATTTTCCTGATTACTAGCACAGATGTTTTTAATATCAGTTTGCTTTTGGAAAACTCACCACAATTTCTCCTTCATGAATTACAGCAACTCTCATGTAAACCGTTAAGGCAAGATCAGCAGGTAACTTTCCACATGGTGTCAAAATAGTCCTTGTCTTGTGGAAGAGCTCGGGCGCTTCCAGCTGCCGAATTTTTGTGCTACCACACTCGTCATGGCTACAACTCCACACAAAAACAAGTTGAACAAGGGTTGAACTTTTCTACCTCCTCCTTAATAAGCATTTTGCTGCAAAGTGTTGTCGAGTAATGTAAATTTTTGTTATGACACCTGGACAATAACAAAATTATAAATTTGCCATGTGGACATTCTGTGCACTAAAATCAGCACATTTCATTACCCGGGCTGCAGTGATGTGAATGGGAGTTCTTCCTTGGGAGTTTAAAGAAAGTTTTCCTTCTGAGTTACATTTGGGTTGGTATATTATCTATATTTTTTTTTTCCTTAAGATTTCTTTGTAAACACCCTCTCCTTATCCTGCTTGGCTCCTTACGAGTTTTACGATATGCCCTTCTGCATTCTAAACAAATGCTTCCCAAGTAATATCTTTCATTCCCATGCTTGAAATGTTGCCATTTCCTGCACCCAAGCTTTGACCCGTCCCTACATCCCACGATCACCTATTTCTAAAGTGCTTTATAAACACTTGGTATGTCTAAAATGGAACTAGCTACTTCTCTAAATCTGTGCCTTTTTGTAAGATTTTCATTATTGGTACTACCTCATCTTCTTCACCCTGTCTTCTCGTAGAATCTATATTCATATAGGCAGCACATACATCTTATTTTAAGGTCTGCATAACTTTGAACATACTTCTCTATGGAAACATACCAAATACACACAGTGAGGAAGCAACTTTTCAATGTGAAAGTCAAACTCTGAATACTACAGGCAGGTTGATTCTGGTTGGGATTTGTTTGTTTTGGTATTGGCATGTTTCTCTACATCTTCAATTAAATAATACTTTTTTTTTCTTCTTCTTCTTCTTTCTTTTTGAACATCAGAGTAGTTCTGGAAGCATCCAAACTCACTTGCTTTCCATTTTTCAAATATCATTTTTACTACAAGCCTAAATGCATTTTTTTCTTTGAATAAAATATTTTCATGGCCAGTTTGACAATTTCTTTGATAGACAATTTCCTGGTGTGTTGACATTTTAAAAAGATAAGTCAGCAAGATCTACAATTTATTCGTCAAAAATTATGATTAAGGAATAGCAATTGGCGCTCATCCTCCCCACCCTCAACCCCAAATCCCCACAAGTAGCCTTTTCTTTCAAAACCTGTGTTCAGTTCTCCACCTTACTTAGAGAAGAAACTATCCCTTATTCAGAAATACTTCAGAAAACAGAACTTATTGATTTAGAAAAAACATTTTCATTTTCAGCTACTATTAACCTGTTTGCATAGCACATAAAAGATCCTAACACATGCTACCTGGAATGGCCTCCTATCTGCTGTTTCTCCAGCTTTTGATTTATCCTTTTAGCTCCTGCAGCAAGGGGATGTCTATTCACGTTTTTACCACCCTGGCTCATATCACATTTAAGATCCTGAGCTTTGAGATTTGTTAAATGTTGCTCTGGAAAGGATTTCTGTGTAAAATCTTCGAAATCCTTCCTGCCTGCAGCTCCTGAAAAGAGAAGAAATTCGATTATCTTGGTAAATGGTGGACAAGCAAGTTCCTCACAAAATTCCCAGACTTACGCTACACAAAACCTTGCATTAGTGTGAAATGCTGCTCAGATCTACAAAACAGTACAAGTAGAGGATCTCTGCAAGGCTAGCTCCTCTTGCAGGGAAGGCTGATATAATGATTGTTAAATGATGCCACAATATCTATTTATCACTGTAGCTCCCAACCAGTTTTCTAACTCCTCAGTAAAAGTAGATACTAAGCCTTTCTTCTTACCATAGAAAAAATCTCTGAAAGCATGTAAAAAAGGCTATGGAATTACTCTTAATTATTCTGGAATTAATCTCAGTAACAGCATTAGGACTAAGTTCAGCTTTACAAGCATCTCTGACTATTGAGTTTGACCAAAAGCACGTTATATAGGACTTCAGAACAGAACTGCACAATCATCCTTCCCATAATTACCTTGTGTCCATGAAGCTACAATAAAAATACACAGGTACCAAAAGCAATAATGTTCTGAGTAATTAACTCGATGGTTATTCAGAAGTTTCCAGACAAAGCCTCTGAGGGAGCACAACTTACCAGTTTTCCTGGTGAGACAAGGGACCTTGGGAAGGTGTGTGAGCTGTCGACAGATCCATTTGTGATAGGACGGGCAAGCAGTAAGATCAACCAGACGCAAAATTTCACAGGTCCCCTAATAACAAACAGGCATCATAATGTTAACACACTAATGCCCTCCACTGCTTCAAGCAAATCAGCTTTTTTCTTACTCTGTGGTAAGACAAGCACTCTTTTTTTTACATCTAAAAGAGGTTTGGGTATTATATCAACCTTGATGAATGTTATGATTTAACAATGATAACATTAAACAGTTGCTTCCCAATGGTTTTCCAAATGCAAATATTCTTTAGAGACAGCAAGTTTGCATATACATTTTTCTTACAGTAGAAAAACTAGCATGAAAGAAAGCTGCAACTACTTTCTGAAAAAAGCAAGTTATGGCAACTGGAATTCTCAAAAAAGCCAGTTATTGTCTTTAGCTCTAGATTTAAGTAGTATAATTCTAGGCAAATTGGTGACTCTCTTCTTAGTATCATTCAGCTGATAGTCAGCTGGCAAGTCATTAAACAACAAAGTCTTGGAGGCATCTCAGAAAAAAAGCAGAATGTTTCACCATCTCACAGTGCTTGCATATAACATATTTGCACCACTAAAATGTCTCTGGAAACATTACAGATCTTTATAACATTATACCTGAAAGGCAATGTGTGTTTCTGTGAGTTGAGAAAACTCCAGCGTCTCTTAGGATACTCTGGCAACAAAATTAAATACATTCGTTTTACCTACCTACAGGCATTTCTGATGCAGTTGAGGCCCTATAGCTCAATGGAAAAAGTTATTCAGTAGTAATAAGTGCTCCCATCAAAACACAGGAAGCCATCTACTCCAAAAGCAAAGGGCAGATAAAAGAGAAAGCATGGAACATGAAGTTTCTCTCAAATCTCCTTTGATAATTATCATTAATACTTCAAAAATTTAAAAAACTTTTAAAAAGTTTTAAGAGTTTTCAAGAGATTGAATCTTTGGTAAAATAGATCCTACAACAGAGTTTGAAAAGAAGTTGGACACTAAGTAAAAGTATGACAAAACCAACAAAAACCAAACCCACAAAGGCACGGCACTTTACAAAGTGCATTATTTCCTAGTCCTTCCAGTAATGGCCCATAATTACCGTTTCTGTTCTTTTTTTTTGCAGACTCTAAAGAACATGTCAGCACACCAAGAACTCCAAAGGATATTACCTACCTTACTAATGAGAATCACACTGGCTGACTTTGTGATATCTTTTGTTATCACTTGTCCATAGTAAAACTTTTCCATTTTGGAGCTATTGGTTATTCTCACTATTGATCTCTTAGACCATTTTGCAAAAAATTTCACACCTCTGAAAAAGAAGCAATACAGACACCTTTTTTTTTCATAGCCTGCCTGACAATGAACTTACTGAAAAACATATTTAACTATGAATTTCTTTTTATTTTTTTGTAGTTGTATCTGATAAGCCCTAGGCCACCATTCCTGGAAACAATAAATCCAGTTCTAGGTTAGTCAGGTTGGTCAGTGTCTTCTTAAAATTGCCATAGTTTCATGATGTAAAGCAAAGCATTCAGTGAAAGTTCACTTTGCCTGACCAAGTTGTTCACAAATTTATAGAGTCCATTAGTATTAAAAAAAAAAGGTAGGATTTGTAGCTGGGATACATGGACAATCATGAATCCTTCCAGAGCAGCTGGTGGCAAAGTACCATCTACCAGTTGTCACAGAGTGCCAACTGGGAGTTCCTTTCCTTACCTCATGAGACACTTGTTACAACATATGAGATATAATAACAAGGTAATTGTTATAATGCTGTTTATCTACGGCCTTCATATAGCTGGGGAAGCTTTTGCAATAGATTATACCTTAGCTAAGCAGTCAAAAAATAAACAAAAGCAAGTGATAACATTTTAAGAAATTACTTGATGAAGTTATATCGATAGCATAATTCTTCCTGAAGCTCTTCATTTAATTGATTAGCGAAGAAGTCATCCTTATCTACCACAAATAGCTTTGTGTCTTCCAGACAGACAACTGTAGCAACTCTCCTTGTTCCTTTCAATACAGAAACTTCCTTCCATGGTGAGAAGTGGAGCGATGGGAACAAAAGAAAGATCAACTCAGTTAATGCTAGGAATTCAGCCATCAACTTTGTAATCCAAATGCTGCCCCTATTAGAGACCACTACATGATCCACCTCATCTAATAACCAGTCTACTTAACCATGATGGCCAGGGCTAGACTTTTTGTTAGGAGGTATCAGAACCCACATACAACACCAATTATGTTCCAAGGAATTTCCCTTCTTGCAGCAAAAGGTTAAGTTCTGAAAAGCACAGGAATATAGATCTCATTCCCAAACTCTTCCTATCTATTTCCCCATGCATGAACCAACAGTATTTTTACCACAGATGCCACTCACCCCAAACTTTGCCCCCTTCTGAAGCACCACAGGATACAGTGCAGTCAAGGTGCTCCTACCATCCTCATCATCTGTGAGAGCAACGCTGCCGAAGTAAATGAAGTAGAAGCTAATGCCGCACTGTCCTTTCTTCAGGATAACTCGCCCACGTTCAAACCTGGAAAACAGAGTGTGGCTGGTGTTATCCAGCAGAAATATAATGAATTAGGCCTGTTCTGAAGTGACTCTGCAGCTAAGATATACAGCTGTAACAGGGTGAATGAGCAGAGCTTGAAAGGCCCAACTAGAACACATTCAGAAATGTAAGTCCTGATTCAAACAAGGTGCACTCCTTTCTACCCACAGAAAGACTTAAAAAGTGAAAATTGATCCATTTTCTGCCCTGCTTAGAATATTCAAGGAAATAAGTGTTTGTAGTGATCAAAGAGAGATCATTAAGTATTTGGCCATGTGACGAGGTCAGATGTAAATTTTCATTTAAATACATGTGAGATTACCCCACGAAGCCCTGTAAACCAGCTATGGTTTTCCCACATTCACTCAGAGTAGCAGATGCCTGTGAGAAACACTTTCATTAGCCCAGTCCACCTAAACCAGGTTAGTTTTCCCTTCACTCACTGTGAAGTTTGTCCTCTTGTATCACTGCACTCCACTGTTTCAAGGCTGTTAGTCACCTGCTTCAGGAAGTTACCACAAGATAGCTCCAGATTTATGGCTTATAATTGCAAAGAGGAGCAGTCCCAGCTAAAACTCATCTCACAGAGAACTGGTCCTAAAGGAGGCATCTCTGGTTAGGTCCCTACACAAGGTAAAGGGGACACAACACTGTCTGCTGTACACTCTGGCAAAGGATCACCTCCTGTAGTAAAAACTTGAGATTTGACAGAAGTTCATACCACTACTTCAGCAGCGTATTCTGTGTCTTAAAAATGAAAAAGGTCAAGCTATAATTTTCTAGGAAGAGGATCACTACAGGCAATAGAGAGGAATGTCTAATGCAATTTTTAAACGCAATTTCAAATGCCTCAAGGGCATCTGATTTCTAGTGTGAATTAATATTAATAAGAAACTAAGAATCTCATTCATGCATTTTGAAAATTCATAGCCCTATCATGTAGAAGGCAGATCACAAGATACACAAAACACCTCATCTGCATTGATGCCACAGCAGTTAACACCCTTGTTAACAGTAAAGAACATGGAGTTCATTCAGAAGACCACCCTGGACCGAAAACATAGCTTACACAGTTGTCTTTCCACTTTTAGATGCAAGGTCAGAGCATAAACAGCACTAAGATCAGCTACAATAAAAATGCACAATGCAAAAATAATAATAATAATAATTACCATTCAAAGCGAACCACTTTAGCCAGAAGAAATTGCAGTCTCAAGCTGTAACTCCCATAGCTTTCTATCTCCTGCAAGCAGCTTTGTACAAATTTCACTTCCTCTTCTGTTCTCCATTCTGGTCTCTTTCGGGTTATTTGGATTACTCTCAGAGGTAAGTTATCCTGAGAAAACATGTAATGCCTAATGAACTCAGAGCAAAAAGTAGAAGCCACAAACACCTTTGCACTTCAGAAAAATGAAGTGTCACCTTTAAGAAACATACATACTGTGATCCCAATTCCCCCTCTCCCACCTCTCCCATTTCTTTTTAAGAGAAATATCTGTAAGTAAATTGCTGAATTTATCTCTAAGATATGAGTGCCCAAACAAGCATGACTGAGTTAGAAACTGAATGCTAAAACATGATTTTTAGGCCAAGTTTGTGGCTAATTAGCTGAACTACATGAAACAGTAAGTTGTTTCCCCCACCACCGCTGCCTTTAAAAATGCATTTTCTGAGGAGCAGAAAGTTCTTTTTCTACCATTACATTTCCATTCCCTAACATGGCTCAACTGCTCTTAAGAACTGCCACCTCATGCAGCCAGGCACTGCTTCATACAGGATACGCCTCCACCTTCCCTCATCGGGAATAGCAGAATTCCACAAGGCATCCTTGAAAAGATAAACACTGCTGCAGGCAAGAACCAAGAAGCAGCCAACACTTTTCTCGGGAGCTGCAGAAAACTGATGGCTTTTCTTCTGCTCAAGAAGTACTGCAGAGTGCATGGGCTCAGCCTCAGGATTTGCCCCTTGCTCAGTTACAGCTCAGATCAGGCAGGCTGAAATTTATCTGAAGGCTCTGTTAGCTCCTGGGACTTGTCCATTTATGACCCAAACCGGTTTCACTAAACCGGCATAAATCCAACTAGAGAAAGGAAATTTACAATATTTAAATTTAACCTGGCACAGATGTTTATATTCAAGCCCAGCAGCTGTTCTTAAACACCATGCACTGCCTTTGACATGCTGTCAAGTGAGGGTTATTCCAAAGGGCTAGGAGTCCCCTCAAGTGATGGGAGAGGTGGTGGGGATTCAGCTGTGGTTCCCACTGCCCTGGGGCGGGTTTGGCTCAATAATTGCTGCTCTTTTTTTGTCTTTGTGGGAGAACCTGACAATGTCAGTGATTTGCAGACCACCTGCAGGAGAAGAAAAGGGGCCAGACCTTTGAAGCTCTGAACTTGTTGATGTTGAAGGATGGTTTGGAACATTTCTTGTTCTGGATTAAAAAAGAAAAAAAATATTGGGAAAGGCTTTGATTGTTTTAGACTAGCACAGAGTTAGCAAGTATACACTAATTTCTTCTCATAAAACAAATTTCAGTAGAACTAGTACATTAGCTTACTCTGTAAAAATCATCTTCTAGTAAGGACTTCAGACAAAAGCTCACTGTTTCATTACTTTTTTTTTTTTGTAATGTAAAGCATTTACTTTAAGTATTTTACATTTAAGCATTTACTAAATGCTTTACTTTGCAAAACAATTTTAAGAACATTTATACTGACAACACAAGATCAGCAGGTAGTACTGGTCCAGTTTCATCGCGCCATGCAAAGATGGCAATGCCTGGACAAGTATTCATGGGCATCTGGATAGATAGTGATATAAATATTGAAACCTGCCCCAGACACCAGTCAACTTGTCAAGCAGAACAGAGAAATACACTCATTTAATAGTTGAAGAGATTTACTTTTATTCCCTGTAGAAAAATCCCTTCCTTCCTGCCAAAGAACGGGAGTTTTACAGAAGTCATGTCGTCAGTCTCTAATCTCTTCTGTTCCTGCAGGTCTTCCCATAAGATCTTACATATTTTCTTCATGATCTTGATGTCTCTCGCAAGCTTGTAGAACTTTTTGAGAGGGCAAACAGAAAAAATGTCTATGTCAGAATACGGACACAGATCATTCCCCTTTCTTACGGGGTACAGGCAGGACTAGCAGTGAAGATACTAGTCTGGGTACGAGGACACTTGGACTCCCCCCTCTCCCACTGATTTCCCTCTGATGAGGAGTCTATGTTCCTATCTCTCCAATTCCATTCAATTGCCATACCTAATTATACTTTAAATGCTCTCTAAAGACAATGACTATTCCATAAGCAGCAGAAATGGTCTCTGATATTTGCTGGAGCCACCAAAATTCACTAGCATTTAACCAAGGACAGAGCTGAAAATTTAATAGTATTTTGGTAGCAACCTATGCTGCACTGACTCTATCATGCTGTAAAAGACAAAGTATATTAGAAAAATAACCAAATGGCAGATCCGATAGTGTACAAGTTTTCGCTTTCTAGTTCCTTCATACTGAGGACCCAGAAGCAACAGTTATGCAATTACTATACTACAAAGTGATTTTCACCCTCCTCTGAGCCTTATCAATCTTCATTAGAAAAACCATGTGGAAGAGAGGGAACTCTAATTAGCTTAGAGCAACATGTTCTTGTTTGAACAGGCAGACTGCCATTAACAACCCTCCCAACACATCAGACCACCAGCCAAAATGCACTGCAGAGCACTGAATATGGCTGTTCAGTCGTCCATATTAAAAAAGACCTGATTACAGGCGCCCTAAAAAAAATCTGTAACACCTTATATTGGGGAAGAAAACAACATCATCACCTCCGCCTCCACCCCAACACACATCCTCTTATTATGTGTTGATATTTTTGTCTTCCTCGCCTCCCTCCCTAACATCATACCTTGGTTGTTGCATGTTGGATAGGCCTGCTGGATATCTTGTGACCTACAGAGAAAACACCACACAGCCTCTTTTACACAGCGCTTCTTCCATTCATTAACAAGGTGTGCTGTTGCTGAGAGAAGATAATCACTGCTAGTGTGATAGAGAGCCTTGTTCAACAGCAAAGGGCAGGTCAAAGAGGATTTGCTTAACAGAGATCCATGAAGAGCAGCATCATTTCACAGCCCGATCCCCAGCTACAGCACACTTTGTCCTTACTGCAACAGATTCTTGCTACCTACACTTTTGAGCACAGATCTGCTTCAATACGCTTCAGGGAACAAATCATAAGTTTCAATCAACAGCAAGCTATTATTCACAAGCAAAATCAGGAATTCAAGTGGCAAAGGAGAGGCCCATTTCTCAATACAAAGCACCAACAGTAGGGAGAAGCTATCCTTTCCTCATTTTTTTTCCCCAAATCCCTTCAGTTGCTGTGCATGAAATCAGGGTGTCTGCTATTCACCCAGCTCCCCTTCTGGAGGTGTGGTTAAACCACAAACAAAGCAAAGCTTAAGGAAATTAAATGAACATAGAGCCTTAGGATTCTGTGGAGATGAAACCAACACTGTCACAAGGTAAACCTCACCAGTATTTACTTGTGGAGGAAACTCATCACCTGCTACCAACAGTGTCACAGTGAAACAGTGAGATGAGAGTGCCTGAGTGCCCAGGGGATTTGGGCGGAAGCTCTAGGAAGTGTGAAAGAAGAAGCTTCGCTGGATACTGGGAATGCCCGAGGTGGGCAGAACTGCAACCATGGGGAGCAGGGGAGCGGCAGATTAATTCAGTTAGGAGAAAAGAAAAACAAAGCATACTTTCCTCAGTAAGATGTAAAGGAAAAGACGCTCCTGTGTTAGAGGAGTTTCTTCTTTGTATTAAAGCTAAGAATGGGCAGACATCAAGTTGTCTCTGGTACTCACCAGAGCTCAGCCATCTCTCTTGGTCTGGAGGGAAGGTCGCGCTTTCCTTTTCTTCCATATCTGCCAATTCCCTCTGTGCACTACTCACCCAGCCCACTACTGCCACACATTCTGGAGCTGCATAAGGCCTTTGTGATGGGCTCCCAACCCCGTTCTAGACCTCCATGGCCACAGTGCAGCCTCTGGGCTTCCCCCAGGGCCCTCAACTTTCACATGGCCTTGGGACCTTCTCCCACATGGAGCTGTGTGCTCACTCTCTCCTCCCCAGCAACCGCTGCCCTCAAGTGGCTCCTGTATTTCTCCTCCTTGAGCCCCCCATAACCACAACATAGACTGTACCTTTTTTTTTAAAAAAAAAAAAGTATTTTACATTTGAATAGAAATATTACACATTAAATTAATATATAAATATATATACACATACAAATATGCACACATTTGTGTCTTAAGACTTCGTACAAGCTGCAGCAATTTTCATACCACATGACCAAGTTTGGGTTCTTGAACAGCATTAAAGGACCCACTGACATTACTGTTTTCTATCTAAGAAACTGCCAGCCTTGAATGAGTGCTATGGACATATGTCTTTTTATAAACTCGACAGATGTTTTTTCATAACTTCCTTGCCTTTTAGCAAAATGTTATTTTGCAGGTACATACATAAACAGAGCCCTTCTTGGGATGCCATCCACCACTATGGATAATGATCAATGGGAAAAGACTGGAGAACAAGTTCCTCATTTACAGTGCTGGAGAAGTGCAGGATTTCTAGGTTTGCAAAATGAACACGTGAACAATCGCAAGAAAAAGAAGGAAACATGAGAAAAACATCTACAATTCCAGGCCAAAGTCATATCTGAGTTCTTTGTACCAAACAATACAGCTTTCTCACAAAAAAAAAATCAGTCTCGAATATTCTACTCAAACATGTTTAAGTGCATCAAAAGTTATATTGTTTACTTGTGAGGTTTTTATGTATACATACTAGAGATTTTTTTTCTGTAAACTAAGTGGATATTAGTGAACTAAAATGCTGATGTGAATATAGAGACTGGGCACGAGTTTCTGCCCCCCATCAGCAACACACACAAAACTAATTTAAATGTGCTTTTTGAAGAGGAAAGGTTATGTTAAATTAAAAGATAACACAATGATAAACTGGAGTACACATTTGGAAGATAAAGAACTGGAATTCTTTGAAAATGAATGTATCTGGAAACCAAAATGTGAGTACTGGCTGAAGAAATTCTCTATGAACAGCACTACAGCTCTTATCCCCATTTTCAAGAATTAATAATTTATTCTTAATTAATTACTGCTTCTTTAAATCTCTTCCAAATTTTTTTTTCTATTGTTTTCAGGTTACCACGCAAATCGGGCTAAATTACAAAATACTTCATAGCTTGCTGTTTAAAATGGACCAAAAACATATTTTTTCAGCTGCAAGCAAAAACCAAAAATACAAGTTTCTTGAGAAATATCATTCAGCACAAGATTAGACTGTAGCTCTTGATGAGAAAAACAGCAATTGCTCAAGAATAGATCTATCAATGAGGGAAACTAAGCAAGAACTGGTAGAAAGACAACTTATCTTTCCTTAATTTTCCCAAGTCACAAATTTGTGACCTTTTCTGAAGGAAACCAGAACCGAGATAACACATCACCAGTAACCTTTAGCTGTCGTCAGTTCTTTCGAGAATAAGCATTCTCAAAAAGTGAGAGGCAAATCTCAAAAATGAGTAATAATGAGACAGGAGATACACCTTGTTATACATTAGTTTTAAACCTAAGGGGAAAAAATGATGAAATCACTGAATACAGTAGAGTGGGAAGAACCCATTTTTTAGCATATTATTACTGAATTTGAAAAGAAAAAGGTAACTGTTGGCTATGTATTCTGTAAGTATGATTGCAGCAGGAAAGAACACCCATTCTGGACAAACATTCACAATCTAACAGAAAACAAAACAAAACAGAATAAAAGGGTAATCGTCATGGGATCTACCCACTCAGAAATGAGTATGGCACACCACGAAAGAGGTCAGTGTACAAACAAAGTATGAGACTCCAAAGAACTGAAGATTCTCTATGCACTGGCATGATAGAATACTCTTATTTAATAAAAGCATTATCCTATTGGAAAGTTCCAATTTAAGCTAACCCACAAACAGTAGCTTTAAATGAGCAACATTAACAGCATTCTTTAACCTCACAGAAGTTAATATATGTTAAGGTAAGAGTAAAATATAGCACCTACCTAACAGATGCTACATAAAGAAGTTTTGGGAACCCAAGTCCAATGGGAGACTTTAGGAAGCTTTAGCTTAAAAAAACATGGAAGCAAGGACATTAAAAATAATTTTAGATGTTCAGTAGCTAAGTTATATTTGTGAATGCCTTGAATACATGCTAACAAAACTAATGATTTAAAAAATGTTAATCTTTATATTCAAGTAGTATTCCTTTGTCCTCTACATCATTCTAAGAGCTTTTTCCTCTTTTAGTGTGAAAAATAGAATTCCTCAGATATATTTCTTGAGAATTTGGTCATAAAATTAGATTTTTTTTTCCTGTATGTTGTACAAGAATACAATCTCATACTCGAACTGTTAGTACTGCTGTACACAGACTGCATACTGCTTTAAAAATTCAACATATGAAGCAAATCAGGCATCGTTAAACTTGGTATCTATGTTGGGGTGAGTTTCATTTACTGCTCTAAATGGATTTAAGTATTTGTAGGCAGAACTAAAGGAATGTGTGTGTCACAAATTGTGTAACTCTGTTCATGCCACTTAGGGCTTTGCTTTAAATGTTGCTGAAAGACATTCCTTGATCATATTCAGCTTTTAAAAGACACCCATCAACTGTTTTAAGAAATACAGACCACATTAGTCCAAAATTGCTATTGTTAAAATAGAAGAGTTTGTTTCCTGAATATTATAATGGCAGCACTTGCTTTGTCTTCCTGGGCCTATCTTAGCCTGTAATGCATCAGTAAGACCCACATGATGAACAGCAGATTAAACTGTACCCGAGTTTATAGTGTAAGCACATAAAGCAAAAAGATGATGAGTTGAAACTGCAGCATCAATCATTTTTCAGCAGACAGAACTTCTGCTTTTAGATGTGAACAAAGGCTGCTAGCAGCAAATGACCTCATTATAAAGACAGAGCATAAATTCAAAGATGTCAAAGTTGAAAACATTCACTGTTACAATTCACATGCTTCTCTTCATCATTCAACCTTACTTTCACCTGGCAACCTCACCTTTCTCCTTTCCTTGATCTTCACACCATTATCATCATGATCAGGTCAAAGTTGCATTTTCTTCTTCCCGTATCACATTTGAAATGTAGCATCTGGGACCTTCACTTGGGCACAGAACTATTGCTGTGTTGAAGCCCTTTGTTGCTGGATTCTGTGGTCTCAGAGCTGGCAGACTTTATGGTCTCTAGAGCACCATAACAGTTGAGGGTCTCAAGGAGACAAGCAAAAATCAGTATTTTGATCCACACTCTAAAATTAAAGAATTCCACTAATTGTGGAAGACCTTCACAAACACTCACCAAAATGAGCCATCTGGATACCATCCAAACTACTCAAAACTTGAAATAGAAGAGAGAGGTGGAATTCCAGATGGGAAGTGAATGACTGGAATTGGCAATGAACTATCTCAGCTGTAAAGCAAAGCAGCTGTCCATGAGAACTTGTGTAAAACATACCTAGTCTGAATGGCAGTTTCATTTTAAAAGATTGACACAACTTGGAGAGCATCTATCTTTCTTTCCAAGATGTTTTGAATCCTTTGATTTGAAAAATCCTTACAGCATTTTGCATTCAAATAGGTGATGAACTCTGCTGGACTCTGATTTTATCTGTCTCCACAGACGAGACTTTTTCTGTGGGTTCTTGTTTAACACGGCTCACACAGATAATACCCTCTGGATTTTCTTCAGCTTAAAAGCAAAAGAAAACATTAAAGTTCAAACTCTAGTTATAACACTTCAGCCTCAATATCTGCAGGCACTTAAAATAAAAATAATAGCTGTAGAATTAAAACCAAAAGGCAAGGCATTTGTGAAGCTAATTGCTGGGTAGTTTGACAGTCAGCTGTGTCATTTTTTGTGTTATAAGACGCTGCAAGCTGAAGCGAATTTGCTGCAGTAAATGCCTTCGCAAGTAAGAATATTTAAAGGCTTCTGTCCTCAAAAATAAGCTTAAAACTATAAAATTACTTCCCCCAAAATATTTTTCCTTTTCCCCTTAGAAAAATAAATCCACCAATTTTTTTTTTTTTAAGAAGGTGCTATGGCTGAAAGGTTCCCATTAAATCATGTTAATTTAATGAATGATTTATACTTTAGTCATAATTGGCATGGCCATTTCTCAATGGCTCCACAAAATAATGAAACACCTTATTCTCGAAGTGCCATTTGTGTAAGAGAACAGATAGGAACAAAACTCCATATGTTCAGGAAGGCTCCAACCTACCACGTGGATGGCTGTCCATGATCCGTACCGGAACAGTCTGTGCATGTCCCAGGAGAATCTGATGGACGCCTCCTTCCAGGCCTGGGGTGTCACCTACCCCTCTAGCTGCTACTAGCTGGCCTGTGGTAACCAGACTGTGCTCGGAGCCAGGGGGATGCCCCAAGGCAGAGCCTGCAGTGCTACGCTGTGTTAGACCAGCACTCATTTGCAAGCTCTGCTCCTGACTAACTTGGTTGGTTATTGCACTCCCTATGGGATCCAAGAGACTTGCAGAGCTGGGAGGGGAATGGTTATTTACAGCTATCGGGGCTGTTGATCCATTTGTGGAGGTACATGTTGACTGCAGCTGTAATCCCTGTGAAAGAGAAGGCAGATGTATTAAAATATTATTATTTACAGCAGAAGGAATTTGTGTTTAACACTACAAATTTTGCCTCTGACTTGCTATACATCGTCTCATTCAGACAGACAGCCTTCCTTGGGCCAGGGTTGTGTGAGAAAAAATATAGGACAAGGGTGTCCAGTAGCATCTAAATGACCATAACACTCTAGTTTGGGATTGACACTCTGTTTCCAAGCGTGACTTGTTTCCCCAGAGGGACAGGCACTGGACACCATACAGCTTTAAAAAGAGAGTGGGCCGGGGCCAGACTGTCCTCTGAAAGAAGGGCAAGAGCAAGTAGAACCATATCCTACTGCGAGCTGCATTCCTAGGGAAGAGACCAGGAAATAGGAAGGCAGTTTTCCAAGTTAGTGAAGAAGGCTGCAAGAGACAAGCTTGAAGGGAGATGATCTTTAGAAGTACTATTGGCATGATGTGCTGATGCCTTTCTTCAGCATTTCAAACTAGAAGTTTTAAAGATCTGGATTGGGAGCTGTTTTAGAATTTTAGCAGATTTTCTTAAGAGGCTGGAAGAAGATTTAGAAGAAATAAAATGAAAGATCAATTTACTACCCAGCAGTTTTGCAGCAAGTCCATCGTGAAATGGCTGGATTTGCTGGAGAAAAAGGTGCTTGGCTAGAGGCATAACTTCACTACCTTCATCTGCTTAGGTCTGCCTTCACAAGAGACTCAAATCCCAAAGTGCCGAAGGATGGCAGTGGGATCTGTGGGATCCCTTGTTCTACAACCAGATGCTAAATATGATGTGCAGTAAAAGGCCAGAGTAGGACCTAACATCTGTTTCAAAACACACATTCCCTCAGCCACAGTTTGGGATAGTTTGGTGAGAGAAAACTTGTTCTCATCTCACCTTTAGTATTCTCAGTGCAGAACATCTGATACTCTGTAAAAGCGAGAAAAGTCTGAGATGACTTGACTGTACCTGAAGTTGGGCAAATATCTTGGGCTGAAATGAAGAGAATGAGGACAACAGCTGAGCTGTTTCTGGTAGCAAGGACTCCTTGCTATGGTTGGATTCTGCTTTGGTGATGACTGGCTCCATCGGTGGACTCCCTAGAGTGATACAGGGAGTGAGCAGACAGTTACAACAGATTTCTCTTCTTGTTTAAAAAATTTCTTGGTGAATCCAAGAAGCCCGTTCATACACCCCCATTCATAAAAAACACATACATGTATCTGCCATTCTTTTTTTCTCCAGAAATGCATAGAAAAAGAGCTGGGCGTTAGGAAAATACATTGCATAAAGATGGCTTATGTATGTTCAGAATGTAAAAAGAAGCACCAGTAACTCTGATCCGGAGTTCAAAGTAATCGATCCCTGCTCTGTGCTTTTCTAGCTACCATGTAAAAGCAAAAACCTCTCTATCAAAGCAGCAATCAAACCATTGGGCCACCATTACATCTTCAGCAAAGCCTCAATAATAGATAAACATCAAAAGTAGGGATTTCCTCCCAAAATAAAATTCTGCACAGGAAATCCTCCAAGTCTCCCAAGTGCCTTCCAAGTGTTGTAGTGGAATTAGGATGACTTTTGTATTACCTCACACCAAATGCAATTTTAAAGAAAGTCGATTTATCTGGAAGCGTTTAATCCTACAGACTACAACATATTCTCAAAATTCTTGTTTAATGCAAGAATGATTGGCTTAGTTTCCCCAAAACTTAGGGAAACCATGATTCACTGGTAGTAATTTCTGCAAGAAAATTTTCCATGGGATGACTTCATTTCTAGTTTGAGACCACACCCAAAATATTTTGGATAAGATTGTATTTATACAAATCCTCACAAATTTATAAAAATAAACATCACTCAGTCTCCTATTTTGCAGTTTCACTGCTGTAACTGCAAAAGAACATGCTCTGTGCATATGGAATACCCTGCCGAGGCTAGTTCCCATGAACTACAGAGCCCAGATATAAGAGAGAGAACCAGGAGAGAGGAAGAGTTTCCGCTGGTTGAGGAGGATTGGGTTAGGAATTATTTAGGCAAACTGAACACCCATAATTCTATGGGCATGGAGTGGATGCACCCAGGAGTGCTGAGGGAATTGGCGGAGGTTGTTCCGTCGCTCTCCATCATCTTCAAGAGGTCATGGAGAGTGGGAGAGGTGCCAGAGGACTGGAAGAAACCAATGTCACTGCAGTCTTCAAAAAAAGCAAGAAGGAGAACCTGGGAAACTACAGGCTGGTCAGCCTCACCTCTATCCCTGGAAAGGTGATGGAGCAGCTCATCCTGGAGACCATCTCTAGGCATGTCAAGGAAAAGAAGGTGATCAGGAGTAGTCAGCATGGATTCACCAAGGGGTAGTCATGTCTGATGAACCTGATAGCCTTCTACGATGAGGTGACAGGCTGGAAGGAAGATGGGGAGCTGTGGATGTTGTCTACCTTGACTTCAGCAAAGTGAGGTGGATTGAGGACTGGCTGGATGGCAGAACCCAGAGGGTCGTGATAAATGGAGCTGAGTCTGGTTGGAGGCCTGTGGCCAGTGGTGTCTCCCAGGGGTCAGTCCTGGGCCTGATGCTGTTCAATTGTTCATCGGTGACTTGGATGAGGGCACCCTGAGCAAGTTTGCAGACGATATCAAACTGGGAGGAGTGGCCGACACTCCCGAGGGTTGCGCTGCCTTCCAGAGGCAACTTGACAAGTTTGAGAGCTGGGCAGAGAGGAACTTTGTGAGGTTCAACAAGGACAAGTGCAGGGTCCTGCACCTGAGGAGGAATAACCCCAGGCACCAGGACAGATTAGGGATTGACCTGCTGGAAAGCAGCTCCGCAGAGAGGGATTTGGGAGTCCTGGTTGACACCAAGTTCCCCATGAGGCAGCAACGTGCCCTCGTGGCCAGGAAGGCCCATGGGCTCCTGGCTGCATCAGGAGAAGTGTTGCCAGCAGGTTGAGGTGGGGGATCCTGCCCCTCTGCTCAGCTCTGGTAACACCGCACCTGGAGCATTGCGGGCAGTTCTGGGCTCCCCAGGACAAGAGGGACGTGGAGCTTCTAGAGAGAGTCCAACGTAGAGCAATGAAGATGATTAAGGGATTGGAGCATCTGTCAGATGAGGAAAGACTGAGCGAGCAGGGCCTGTTCAGCCTCAAGAAGAGAAGGCTGAGAGAAGATCTGATCAACATGTACAAATACCTGAGGGGAGAATGTAGGGAGGATGGGGCCAAACTCTTCTCGGTGGTGGCCAGTAACAGGACAAGGAGTAATGGGTACAAGCTGAAACACAGGAATTTCCATCTCCATGTGAGGAAGAACTTTACTGTGAGGGTGCCAGAGCCCTGGAACAGGCTGGCCAGAGAGGTTGTGGAGTCTCCTTCTCTGAAGATCTTCAAAACCCGCCTGGATGTGACCCTGTGCCACATGCTCTGCGTGTCCCTACTTATGCAGAGGAGTTGGACTAGATGATCTCTAGAGGTCCCTTCCAAACTCAACCATTCTGTGAGTCTGTGAAAATCTTCAGATGCTTTGGAATGCTAAATAGGAGTAAAAACTGCAGATCTGGCTCTTTATCAACCATACCAAGAGGTATTTTTTCTTCCCTCAACACACACAACCAAATGATAAAACACACACACAGACAAACACAAATGCTCCCCTCTGCCCCAGAACACAAACGCAAGTCATCCTTCTTAAATTCAGGAGACGGAAGGTCACGATCGTAACCTTTCTGGAAGGAGACTGAACTGCTGTGACAAAAGTAGTAACAACAAAAAATCATATTTGGAGATAGCTAAGTTGTTAATATAGTCCTACCATCTGAAGGTGGTGAGGCAAGTGTAACAGTAACTGTTTCTGTGAGAACATTCCCACTGTCAGTGGTCCACTGCAGCTGAAAGGAAAGAGATCTCAGTTCTTGTAAGAAATGGTGCAAGATCGTCTGCTTACAGGAAGACAGGCTCAGCAGCACCCACACGAATACAGGCAGTGAAAGTTAATGTCTAAAACTACAGTTACTAATAACTACATATTTTGGACATTTTTGGTTTACTAAAACAAAAAACCAAACAACTCCTACCACCTATTCCCCCAAAGAGGCTCTGAAAACTTAAACTTTGTAACTGATTCCTAACATGTGCTGCAACAGGAAGGCTAAACCTTTCCTGGATGGATTTTAAAATGAAAAATAGACACTCAAACCATTTGACTAATTAACACATAACTTGCCTCAAATAAGTGGCTGATGGTACTTACATATTCAAAATGCTGTAAAAGTCCCACTTACACTGCACCTGACACATTTCATCCCCATTTTTCCAGATATGGGAAGGCAGAAGTACTAACTTCTCCAAAACATAGTACATAGTAAAGTTGCTCAAAAAATTTTTGAGGGATGGCCATTTTTCCATGCCACATGCCTTCAAGTTCTGGCAGCCTTCATGTAAGTGCTACTCTTGCATAACATGTCAAGCAACTAAAAGCAATCTAATGCTAATGAGATAAATCCTGAACAAGGCCAAAAGGTTTTATTCAGATATAATCCAATTTGTTTGAGCCAGAGATTGCACTGAAAATTGTGCTTCTGTGAATATAAACTCGGTGACAGTTTTGACTGAAATATGGCTAGACAGTAAAAATTAAGTAAGACTTGCAGCATTTAATCCAAAAATCAGAAAGAAACACTAAGGCCAAATGTACCGTTGCCGGTATGCTTTCCGAGTCATACTCCATCTCTCCATTCCTCAGGGACTTCTGCACTTCATGAATGTGGTTCTTGATGTCATTCACAGTGGGGAAGAAAGACAGGTTATGCCTCTCTGGCACTTCATCGGGCTTGAATAATTCTCTCTCCACATACTTCCTGTCATGTGTTAAAGGAAGTAAGATTTTAAAAATTAGAATATTTACAATCTTTTGGGATATTTCCCTCTGCTGTATGTTATTTCCCTCCCCTTTCTGCACAGACAGATAAGGACAAGTCGGATCATTTTCTCATCCAGTTCAGCATGCATCTGATCTACAGTCTTAAATTAAAACACCCTATTTATACAACTAACTGAAGAAGACAGAAGCTCTTAATAACTACCTATAATAAAACAAACAAACAAAAAAAATGTGAAAAAATAGATTCTAATGACACATGAGAAAAGCATTCAGCACGCCATGCAGCAAGCAAGTTGCAAGCCATTTAAACAAATGTAAAAGAGGATATAGCAGCACAGGCTGAGAAAGGTGTGACTATCCAGCCAGGTAGTGCTGTACCTTAGTTGCTTCCTCACTGCATAGACCTGTTCCACTCCCTGTGACACCAGCTCTCGGATCTTGTCTGCTACTTGGGGATGAAGCCGAGAAGGCTCCGCACAGTTCTCATCTCTAATAACTTCTTCCTCTTCCTCTGGAGAAGGCATAGGAAAATGGGAAGGTGAAGGAGGAAGGCACGAAGTTTCCATTTCATGATACTGGTGGGCTTGCTGAGTGGGTAACTGCACATACCACCTGGCAAGAGAAGAGAATTTCTATGAACTATTCTCGAGAAAAGTTAACAAAAAGAATCTCTTTGGGAAAGTCTGACAATGAATGACAAATGACTGAGTTTTTCCTTAAGCTTTTACTGCTTCTGAGCTGTAAGAGGAGAGCCCTTGTGTATTCAGGGCTCTCTCAAATTTTTGCAGTGCTAAATAAAAGGTATTAAATGCCCAAATAACACAGCTATAACATTTACCAAACTAAATAATGCAGACCCATAATTCTTAGTGGCATTTTTCTTTTTTAATTATTTAGCAAGAACCTTAATAACATGATTAAAAGAAAAAAAAGCCACACAAGCAAATTATTTCTTTTTGCTTCATTTGTCAAGATAAAAAAAAAAAAGTCGAAGTTTCACCTGAGGACACCTCCAGCATCTATCAAGTTCTTCTTCAACATGTTGAATGCTTTCTCCTGCTCCATTCTTATGATTTTCTTGTCAATTTTAGGGTCGGTGGAAACTTTATACTCTGGAAACTTTTGAACCTTCTTAATATAGATCCTTCCAAGTGGTTGAGATTAACAAAGAAAAAGAAAAATTCTGCTTTGTTACACTTCACCCTCAGGGGAAGGAAAAAAAATCCCATTTACTCCACAGCAGATATTACAGAAAAAGTTCAAGCAACATCATGCAGGGGTGGAGAGCCTCTAATAGAACTGAGGAATTGCTAAGTGTTCATCAACAGAGATGCACACAGACTCTGAACTTCTGTTCCAGTCCATGTCAGAGTAGTGATGTGCCTTAACAACCCTCTGTCTCTCAGCAGGGTACACAAAGCACAACACCATTCTAGCCAGGCTGTGCAAGTTCACCCATCTTGAAGCCCGAGTTGAGCACATTCACTTGTGTCTAATCGCAGCTGTCCAAGTAAATACACTTGTAGCTCAGTACAAACTGAGCAGCAGGGGCACTGAAGCCCGGGAAGCTGCAACAGGATGCTCAAGGACAGGAAGAATCATTAGAGCTGGATAAGAAGAAAATCCCTGGTGAACGGGAAGAACTAAAACTTCTGCAAATAAGACTTCTTCTAATTTTGCATGATTGACTGACATAAATGCAATAAAGTCCAAAGAAAACCAATAAATAAGAGGATACAGTTTTGGGACTAAAATGGTTGCCCCATGTCAGCTGGATTTTCATTACTCGAGCTGTCAGCCTGTGCTGCCCTAGTTGATTCTCCTTGGGTATCCGAACCCCTAATTCGTGGCCATAACTGAAGACACTGAAGTCATAGTTACCAGTTCTACAAGTAGGAGGGGAACGTAAAATTGGGAACGCAATTCTAGGCTGGTGTTGGAGGGAACATGGAAGTTTTTGCTTTAAGAAAGTCTCTATTCCAAATTTGTGGTCACCAGTCATTCAGTGGTTTTGGACTTTGGTCTGCAGCTGTATAATAAAGATCCACAGATACCTGTTAAGGGATCCGCGTAACTCAACTAAGAACTCACAAAAGATGCTTCAATTGCTATTCAGGAGTTTGCACATCCACTGGAAATGGAAAATGCCTGAGATTTGCAAATCAAAAGGACAGGAATGATTGTTGTAAGCTAGAGCATATACAGGTTACTTAGGCTATCAGAGCCATTACAGTGTATCTGTCACTCTACCCTAGTTTCCTAACCTGTTGTTAGCTGCAGCTCACATATGTCATATCCACACAGCCAAAGGATGAACAGAGCAACTCTGAGAATACAGCTTGTTTTCATGCTATTCCCTCCCCTTTCCTCAGGTGTACACCATGGTATGACGTCCTCAATAATGAGAGTAATTCTTACTTGTGCTTCACATCCTGATGTTACTTTTGCACCTAGGCAACCTATGAAATGTAATCCTCCTTCACTTTCACAGCCTCCCTCCCTCCAAATGAACATCAACCTCAGCTCAGCCTTACCCCAATACAGTGCTCTGTTGAGGCTCACAGAAGACAAGCTCTCTTGGGATAGTGAGTAGCTCTTCCAACTTGATAACCAGTTCTTACCTTGCTGGACAAGTGGCTTTGTACAGATGGCCAGAGGCGCATTCCTGGTCACCAGCTTTTTTGGGCTGGAAACCTTTCCTCCTTGGTCCATACTGGCACTCCATTACAATAGCTCTACTTCCTGGGAGCAGAAAGTAATCTACTTGATCATATATTCAAGCAACCACTGATTTCCAGTCCCTACAGTAAAACAGTAACTAAAGAAATGATGAGAGCTCTCAGACGTTTATTTCTATTTAACATCAGACTTGTAAGAAGGCAGAACACTAAGTGCAGAAGCATTTCAATACAGTACAAATGCTTCTCGCATAGCAGCTAAGGATCACAAAGCATTTTCAAAGCATTTCCCAAACTAATTATGCTTCACAACACTCTTGGAAGACATACAGACAAGATAGGAAAGATATATAGAGGCAAAACAGGCTTCTGTCTCCATGACCACCAATACTTCACATAATAAGCAGCCTTGTGAGGCACCAGTGGAGCACAGTGCTTCAATGTAAGAAAGAGAAGCAGAATTTACCAAATAACCTAGAAAACGCACAGCTGAAATCAAAGCTTAGGCATGTCCACCATCCTATCTTAGATCAATGCTTTAGACAACAGTGTGCTGTGAATTCTCATTTGTCATTAAGGTCTGCAATATGACTTATTGTATCTATTAAGTAATACCTCTTTGGAGTGGCATACTCCAACAGAAACAGATGGGTTTAAATAAAAAACATGTAGCTCTAAACATCACTCAAATAAGAGGTTTCTTCCAGTCGGATTTCTGATGAAAAAGAATTTACAGGCATGGCCTGGAAGTGTTTGTTGTTAAGAGAACTTCTATTTTTTTCCTCTGTCATGCTTAGTTTTCTTTGTCGTCTTTTACCTACAATCAGTATACTAGCAGTGAGGTGCCTTTACCTCAAAATACACACTCAAAGACTGTTAAAGAATCACAACGGCAATATTGTGTTCCCAGCAAATAGTCAATAACTTATTGCATGAGAGTGCAATATAAAAAAAAGAAACAAATGCAAATAGAGAAATGGGAAATTTAAAAGCAGATTAGGTATGATGAATGGATAGTCATTTAGGCTTCTTTTTAAACTGAAAAAAAATTCTATGTGCTATGACTGTAGAAGACTTAACATTATCACCACTATGAAAAAACACGATGATCTTTTTACAGCTGTTTGGCAACTGATGTTGCAATTTGAAAGTAGTTATTAAAAGAAGTTGGTTACCTGCATTGACAAATGGGATCCCGTCATATGGGACATACTGGGACTTCCACATCAACCGCGTGGCAGGTTTGGCTGGGCTTGGGGACTGGCGTGTCCCCCACACGCTCTGCGTTTGCTGCTTGTGTAGTGTTAGGACACTCTCTAACTCTGCCTCACTCACACAATAGCCACGGTACGAGTCCCCAATTTTCTGCATAGAAAAGAGGTGAAATAATAGGATTATTCATCCAGCTGACTGCCGTCTGATACCCAAGAAAATGAAAGCAGGCTGGGACTCTGGAAAGCAAGGAAGCAGTCCCAGATTTGGGGGTGGAGTTGTCGTCTTTTTTGACTCCTCACGATCTCCTCCTTACCACAGCATCTAATATTACAGCAGTCTCCAGGGAGGTCAGGAATCTGTCAGTCCTCCAAGACCCTAAGGACTCCAAGAACCCCCAAAAAGGTTACACAGCTACTGCAAACACTGTTTTTTATGTGACATACCTCCACTCCTGTTGTTTCTCCTGCACATACTTCAACTGCAGTCACTTGGGACACAGTCATCCTAAGTGAACATATTCACCTGATTTCCACAGAGACCATAAGTGCTAGGAGTGTATCTGCTTCAATCTACACCCCCAACATCTGATTTGGGGTGAAGACTGCTGCTCACACCAACAGTACCCACCTCTTAGTCACTTGGAACAGACACAGTGTCTATGGCTGGCAAGAACAAAAGCCAGCAGAGAACACGTAGCAGGGACAGGGGGTTGCTGCCAGCACAAACCCAAAACCATAGTCATGGACGAGCTGCAGCAGTCAGCTTGGCACCTCAGCTGCTTACGCAGCAGCTAAGCCTAACCTTCTGATGGAGTGCCACTAAGCCTAACCTTCTGACTCAGCTTTACTTGAAGCCAAAAATGAAGGAATTCATTTTCTCTCCCCTACCCTCACCTCAACAAAAGGATACAAAAGCTGACACTAAAATACATACATCAAGACTGTGGTTTTGCTCGAGTGAAGTAACAGCAGCAGCATGCAAGAGGCATTATACTGTTCAGACACTGCAAATATCAGCAGTACAGTTCAAGGTAGCTAGGAAATCAACACCAGCTACAGTGCTTAGCGCTGATTTTGAACAGCAGTAGCTTTTACTGTTCCATGTTTGATGGTGCCCAACTACCAAGAGAGTCATTGCTCTCTGGTGTTCAGTTCTGGTCTAAAATGTAGTCAGCTTCCCATTAGATAGAGTGGGCAACACGCAGACAGTCTGTGCCATGGCTTCAAGTGCTGGCATCTGCTGCGAAATCCATGCAGACCTCTGGTGTTTAAGTTTGATTCTAGTCTGGAAAGTGACTGAAAAAAAAGCAGAATTGTGGGTAGCTACATCTACCCACACCAAGCACGTTCAAGCTGAAGGCAAAGCATTTTCTTTAATTGCGAGATCTCCCAGTTCTGACCAGGCTATTCTATCCTGGTACCAATAATAAAACATTCCCCAATACACACATAGACTCCCTTAAAGACAAACGGCACTTCCAATTCCATTATCTCTAGTCTGTGCCTACAAAACTGTACATGCAGCTTAGCAGTGCCCGGTGCATTTGCCCTGTGAAACTGAGAGGTGCTCAGCAAAATCTTGTTGATAGCACACAAGAAGGGACAGAGTTCCAGTCATTCCTCCTTGTACGGTGGTCTCTGCAGCGTGAACAAGAACAAAACAAAATTTGCTTTGCCTTGTTTTTTTTTTTAAAAAAAAGAGGAAAAATGCAATAGTAGGCAACAGCTCTGCTCAATAGTAGAGACAAATCTTTATATCCTCAGAACACAACTGTCAATTTAAACAGAGACATCTAACAATATCCAAAGAAAAAGGAAGTGCTGCTTGGGTCAAAAAACACAATAGGGTTGAAGAAAGGCACCAAACATGCAAGTTCTCCCTTTAAGGTGGTCCCGTACGATTCACAGTGAAAGTGGCCATTTTATAGGTTTTCAGTAGGTAATCAGAAAAAGGGTAGCAGCCTTTTCAAGTACAAAGCTTCTCTCACAAAAGAAAATATGTGCAAAAATCCTGAAGCAAGTGTTAGTTACCTCGAAAAAACAGAACAAAGCAAAGAAAATGTGTAGCTGGTACCACAAAACTTTTGATAAGAAAGGAAAAAGAAAAAGCTACAGGTAACCATGCTGGCACAACAGAAAAAACAAATCTGGGAGAGTATCTAAAATATAAATGTTTTACTAAACATTGACATTAAGGAGTTCTTCTAAGTCCCAGACTAGACTCCAACAAGTGTTTTTCAACTTCTAAAGAACACGTGATATGAACCACTGCAGACTTAGGTCATAGTAAAGGAATTTTATTCTTTAATTAATGAAACAGTAGTGCAACAAAACAGCAATTTGCTCTGTAGAAGCTAGCAGGCTTCTGAGAATCAGTAGCTTTTTCTAGTGCTGCAGCATTAAGAGCATTCAATTTCTAGCATTACAAAGGCTCCCATGGCATTTTATATTTCTAAATGTGCTAGTTCTAAATGTGCTTTTTCATAGAATCAGCGTGCTTGACAATGTGCAAATTTAAAGAAATATTTTTATAGTTGTAAAGTGTGCAATGATCTAGATGAAATAAACCACCAAGTCAGAACTGTTTGCAGCCCACCTCACAGTTCCTGAGACAGCGTGCCCATGGGGGTGTATCTGGGGGCAATGGCTGGACAGGGATAGGAAAGGGATCTTCCAATAGCCTAAAAAATACATACAAAAAAAAATCTGTAGAGACAGCCAGGAGAGCAATGGTTCAATCTAATATAATCAAAATAGTATATTATGTACGCCTCTACAGCATATGACTAAGCTATAGACATTGTATCAACTCGCCTTGAAAACCTGGGTTTGATTTTCCCCATATTCGACTTTATTGCCCAAATACTTCACTGTAAATATCAATATTTAAAACACCAATGATAAATTTTAATATATTGATACAATAAACTCTACTCCCCTCAAGCTTCAGCTTTCCCTGCAGCTCCTTCACTGAAGCAGTGCCTTCATCTTCAACTCTTGGCAATGCCAGCACCTACCTGGAGAAATTTCAGTAACTTCCCTGTGTTACTTTAAATACCCAACTGTTGCTCAAGTCAAAATATAACCAGAGAAAAAACTTTCTCTGGAATTCAGGCTCTTTAACTGCTCTTTCCATTGCTCTGTCACACATAAATGCTCCCTGCAAACACTGGATACTACACGTCGTTCCCTAATTCTAACAAACCATGATCTCCATGGAAACCTTCTCTGTTAGTTTTGCAGTAACTGTTGCAAAAACAAACTGCATGAAAACCTGGCAGTACTACCAGAAGTCAAAATGCTTTTTAATCCTTTTAACTCCTCAGCCTACCTGGTGATGTTTCTTTTTGATAGAGAGAGAGATGCATGTGGATGTAGAATATAACTGCTTGTAGTGTCTCCTACAGCAGCTACCGTTACTGTCTGCAAGTTCCCGTCACTGCACTTCTCTTCTGAAAAATCTTTGCAAAAACAAAATATCCTCCTGGTTAATAGCTGAATAAATATGAGGAAATAACAAGCTATGATTAAAAGCTGCATGTTGGAAAAGGAATTTTAGGATTTAGGATGACAAACTACAAAGAAGTTCAGTAATTGTGAATCAATACTGATAAAGTCTAAGCAAAAATACGAATACGAACTTTATAAGGTTGTAAACTAGTACGCAGTACTCAGCCACCCAGCTAAGCCTGCAAATGAATAGACATCTTTCAGACTTCACTATGTTGCTTTTCTAGAGAAAAACTTAAGTTGTGTATGGAGCTGTGCATCTCACCATACACTTAACACAGTGGCAATGAAACAAAAGGTATCGTCCATTTTCTTCACTGGGAAATGATTTTCTCCATAGATAATAAACCTTTGTGAAGCCAGAAATGAATTACTGATAGTAGTTTCCAGAAAAAGAGTCCTCTGCTGCATTACTTGAATTAACTACTTCACTTTAAGTGAAATAAGTATCTCAAAACTGAAAATACTGTTTTGTGATTTAACAAAAATATCTCTTTTAATAATGAATAAGACAAGAAGCAGCTTTGTGCTTGACATTCCAGTTTATCCATCATACAAAGTAAACACAATAATCCTTTGGGCCCTGATGGGATGCACCCCAGAGTGCTGCATGAGTGGCCAGATGTCATAGCTAAGCTGCTCTCCATCACCTTTGAAAGCTTCTGGAGAATGGGGGAGGTGCCGGAGGACTGCAAGAAAGCCAATGTCACGCCAGCCTTCAAAAAAGGCAAGAAGGAGGACCCAGGCAACTACAGGCCAGTCAGCCTCACCTCCGTCCCCAGGAAAGCAACGGAACAGCTCCTACTGGCCGTTGTCTCCAGGCACAGGGAGGACAAGAAGGTGCTCAAGAGTAGCCAGCATGGACTCACCAAGGGGAAATCTTGCTCGACTAACCTGATAAAGTTCCACAGGAACTCAAGGATAGGTTTCTGGACTGGGAGGGTGCCAGAGCACTGGAACAGGCTGCCCAGAGAGGTTGTGGAGTCTCCTTCTCTGGAGATCTTCAAACCCGCTTGGACGCAGTCCTGTGCCACGTGCTCTAGGTGACCCTGCGAGTGCAGGGGGTTGGACTAGATGATCTCTAGAGGCGCCTTCCAACCTTAAGCATCCTGTGATGATTCTTAGTTCATAAAGCTTTTTGTCCAAAAAAGGGACAGCAGACTCACACTTGGAAGGCAAATTCAGCATATATTTTTGTAATTATCTTAAGGAAATTCAGGAAAAGAAAAGAATTAACTATGAAATTTAAAAAATTAACTAACAATTCACTAAGCCTACATACAATAAAGTTCTTAGAGAGAGATCATTCAGGATGTTTAGTCACAAGACATCCTCCATTCCCACAGGTTAAACTCACCCTGCGTGCCGGATACATCCAGAAGCGGTCCTTGAGGAATAATCACTTGGGCCGTTCCTTGCTGGGCAGAAGGAATGACATGCAGCACCTGTCCGTGTTCAGAATGGCTGGCAACAATCATCTGTAAAGCAATTACACATAAAGGTGAACGGCACTACAACGAACTGGTGTTTAGCACACAGCATGACTGGCTTTGATTACTATAAGAAGTTCTAGTTGGAACTAAGACCTTTGAGCTTATTTGCTTTCACATAACACAAGCAAACAGATAATTTATTGACACTTAAAAAAAAATGCTTCACAGCTTTTAAAATAGCATTCTAACTCGCTAGAGAGGAGATAACCTAGCAGGATCCTACACCGAATTATACACCTATTTGAAGGCTGGGACATGATTATTAAAGCTATCAAAAGACCTGAAAACTATTCACTATTGGATTCACTGTAATCACACTCATGGATGAGCAGAATTAATCACAATATATAAAAATGTTATTCTTTATTTCTAAGAAACTGACATTAATGGACACCCTTAATGCAAAAGCAGAAAGAAGAGAAGCTTCAGGACTTTAAAACAAACAACGAACAACAAACTTGCCTAGCATTCTTCGACACATAATAACCACTCTTTACGGCGAACACTTCTGTAGTATCAAAGACTTGTTGACAAGTCTTTAGAGGGGTGAGCTGTCTTCAAAAACAGTGCAACAACACATGCCAAACAAACTCTCTGGGCAAAAGAGTTACCTTTTTATAAAGTAAGTGTTAAGAACTACAAAAGAATGTTTTGAGCAAATTAATTTGGGGAGGGGAGGGCCTTAACAGATAAACTTAATGGTGGTGCCATGATTCCAAAAAGAGAAAAGACTTATAAAACAATATAGTGATTATAAAGAAGGCAGTGGCAGAAGTGCATGATCTCATTGCACAATCACAGCCTGGTTTGATAATGACAAAACATATGATATTGTTATTTTAATAAAATTAGTAATGGCTGAACTCAAGATTTGGCTACCTGGTGAAGAATCACCAGAGCATGACCTGAACCACTGAAAAGTTCCACCTTGCTGCTACAAAGTCCAAGACAGCTGTTATGACAAACCAGCACCATATAGGAAGTGCCCCCAAAGTTTCCCCCTTCGGGAGGACACGTGCACCGCTGGGGACACGCTCACCATGTGCGCGCTCGGCCCGCCCAGCGAGGGCGGCTCGGAGCGAGGTCGGCCCTCCGGGTTTAGCAGCCGTGCAGGTGCAGCCGCACATGGAGCGCTGCCCGAGACACGGACGGCAAGAGGGTCTCTCTGTCCAAACGGCTCCCTGGAATCCATGCAGGTTAGATGCTTTCACAGAGGAAAAAAGGTGGAATGCATTTCAATCCTAAATTGTAATTTCTGGAAAAAAAAAAAAAGTTAAAAAAAGGTTAAAAAAACTAGCATGCTACATTTTATTCTCAGAAGGTGCTCCTTTCCTTCCAACCAAGGCACTGCTAGCTAACACTAACAGTTCTGGTTTTTGTTTTCCATTTCCGCATTGAAATTATGAATACATTTCTGCTTCCTAGAATAGACAGTCTAAGGGGAAAGATAACAGCAATTTCAATTTGACTGATTTTCCAATGTTCAGAATGTCTCTTATACCCAGGCACATTATTAAGTATTCTTTTAATAGAGGATTTTCTTAAGACAACACAAATACATATTTCTTCAGCACTGTAGCAGAACCTACAAAATACCAGTATTAGAGGGCCATCCAGTTACATGTAACACGCAGTTCAAAGTAAGGAACTGTGGTACTTTGCAGAAGGACACGCTGTATTAGTATCAAGAGAAAAATACACATATTGGCAAAATATCATACTGTAAATTCAGAGAATGAAAACATCCACAATGACAAGACATTCAGATTCACCTTAAAAATCCAGTCATCTCTCTTTGACTGTCCTACACTACTACAGTTGATCACCAACACGTCTTTGCATCTTTCCATAGCGACATCATGGCCAGCTGCATTTTCTTCCATTACAACAGGACCTGGAAGGGTGACAAAACTATTTTAGCCTCCCATGTAAACACTCTTTAGACTCAACCAAGATGTTGCTCTATTTTTTTTTTGATCTTACTAATTTAGCCCTACAAGTTCCAAACCCATTACAAGCTAATGGCAGAGCTGTCAATAATAATCACTGACTTTTTCTTTTCCTACAATGAGAAATATATAAAATACTAACATAAATATATAAAATTATAACAAAGATTACATATATAAAATAATAACATAATAACGTAAGCACAGTTTAAATCTTCATACAAGAAAAACCTGCTTTTCCAAGAGATCATAGACTTTGCTGTGACTTGGTGCACACAGATACAAAACAGACATAGCTGCCCTCGTGTTCTTCATCTAAGTATGTCCACAAGCACTCATCCAATAACTGCATACATCTAGAGGGTACTTGATATTCAAAGCCCGTGCTGCTTTATAAAAATATTACTCATCTACTTCTGCAGTAAACACACAGGACTTGTATCGGCCCAAACTGCCAAGCAGCCATCTTGAAGTAAACTGCAGTTGCTTTAAAGCAGCATGAAACAATGTCTAAATGAAAACAAATACTACTGTTAGTCTGCAGCAATAAATTTTAGTCAAAAAAATATTTAAAACACAGCTTGGCATGAGTTATGTGAGGAAGAACAAAAAGACAGAGCTCCCAGAAATTTGGACAACTACCTCACATACCAAAGAAAAGTATTTCAAAAAGCTAGCTGTGAATATTCAGCACCTCCACAAGACAAGGCTGCACCAAGACCGAGCAGACCCTTCAAGGCTGCAACCAAACCAAGCCCAAATATGGATGAACAACGAGACAAAAAATCAATTCAATTAATTTGTCCTCTAAATCGCTAGAGCACATATATATTCTAGAGTACACAATGCCTAAACAAATAAGAGAAATCTTGATTTGTGAAAATTTGGAGGGTGGAATTTTTTCCTTCAGGGTTTATTTTAAAGACAAGCAGCAGTATGTCAGCACATGCTTCCTACTTTATCTTCTTTACTATTCCACATGGTACAGTCCTTGAGATGGACCTTCTTGCTGGTGGCATTTCAATCATTTCCTGCTTTAGTACGGAGAATGAACAAGGCTAGGAAGCCATTTGAAAAGAATGAAGCACAAATTCATTTTGCAAAGACATAGTGGACCACAGGCAAAATAAAGCCACATCTCTGGCTTTTGAAGCTTACTAAAGCATCCTGCTGATATGAACGATGTTCCAAAGTTAAGCTGCTCATACGCTCAGTATACTAAATACTTTAATCTAAAGCAGATTTAGTTTTACATTCAATTCCTAAATGATAACACTCCAAAACTTGTTCCAAATGAAGTTGCCTCATATTTACTGAATATTTTGTAGCTCTGGATTTAGCCAAAAAGATTAAAAAAAAAAAAACTGTTAAAACATTTGAAGGGTGTTAACTGCAAATAAAAAGCATAGAAAACTAGATTTCACCACTATTCAATTATTTCCCCCAAATAACAAATGTAAAGTAAGAAGTTATATTAATTTTGCCAAAATGATACATAGATAGACTGAAAATATTGATGGTATATAGTCCAAATGCATTAAAAAGCTGGACCAAGGGCATTAGCATTAGAAACCTACCATAGACCACAACACTAGCTGCACTGGTATGGACCAATGGTCCATGAAGACAATTATCCAGCATCCAACATTGGTTAATAATAATCCACGGAAAACGATAACAGTAGGTCAAGTATGTAATGATATTTACTCAGCTTCTAGTTATAAATAGTCCAGAAATTCTTGCGCTTTAAGTAATATATTTCTGTTTAAAAAGCCCTTGGTACATTTTTCTGCTGTGAGTTTGTGTGTTTTAATCTAATAGACCACTGGCAAGCAGATCAGTAACAAATCAGTAACAAATTTCATAGTTTAATCACACAGGTTTCATTAGTTTCATTCTACTTGTGAGCAACTCCAAATAAACAAACAAAGATAACTCTTGTTGTAAAAAAATATATTTTTACTGATACTTAGAGCTTATAAGCATATTTAATAGACTTCATAGTCATATAAATAATGCCAGCAAACTCCCTAAAAAAGACAGTTAAATACATGTATACAAGCGCACAGGTGGTCATGGATGAATAAACAATATACAGGTATCTCTGCCTTTCACAAAAACTTATGCATCACAGGAGTTTCAAGCATAACACCACTGAATCGTACATTCAGTAACAGCTTGAAGAACCGTCGCGGTTTGGTGTTAGTGTAAAACTGGATCAAAGGCCCTATTCCTCTGCACATACACCAAGCAGAAACAACTCCACACCTCAGCTTTAGCCTTAGGACAGTTCCACCCAAACCACTTTAACCTACGTTCTGCTCTCCATGAGTTCCACCACCCCAAGGCTGCTTCCAGCCCAAGAGCTAGGTTATTCCAACACTGAAAGAGCAGCTCCTTCTCCCCGCTTCCCATTTGGGGAGCAGGAAGCTAAAGGCAGGAAGACTCCAATCCTTTCAGGGGGAATCCTTTCAGGAGGGCTCCCATGCCAATATGCTTGTCAAAACCAGTGACACCTCTTGCACATGCTGTGCTCTCACTCAGTGACTGTCATCTGCAAAAGCAGTGTGCGCAATATCAAACGCTTTAAAGAGGAACACGGTTTCAATGCACAGAGCTGAATCTTTCATGCAGCAGAACCACCAACATCTGTAATCCACTCCTGTAACAGAGCCCATACGCTGATCTGTATATATACATATTTTTAAGACATCAACAGAAAAGTCAAAATAGCATTACTTTGAAAATCTATTAGTGGCTGGTTATCCCCACCTCCACCTACTCCAGCGCAGCAGATTTCTGTATTTTCTTCCCTTCTTCCCTTTCAGTTCTTGTTTCACAATCGCACCTAGAAATTTCAAGCAGCGCTCCCTAAAAACGCAGCATTCTAGACTAACCTCATCTTGAGGTCTCACAGTAACTTTAGCTCCTCGCCTTCCCCCAGGCGACTGGGCAGGGGTCAGATCCCACATGGAAGCTCTGCCTCTCAGAATCGCAGCGTTCCGTATTTCAGTACTGAGGCAACAGCGCAAGATGTTGGTCCCGAGAGGAAAGCTAAATAGTACAAATAAATAAATAAATATCAGGCCGCCTGCCCTCGGGGGCCTTATGAGAAGCGCCCGGGCTCGCAAGGGAACCGCTCAGTCCTCGCCGCCCCAGCGGAGGGCGCCGCACGGGGAGGCGCCAGGGGCTCCGCACCGCAGCGCCGGGAGGGCGGTTGGGAGGGCGCTTG